GTTTTCGCCATGTTGGTTTAGTGAAAAACATAACATCAAGTGATTTACTGAAAATTAATAGTTTACTGAATATAGACAAGTTTAATGAGTATGTAAATGTTGACAATAATTTAATAGCAACACAGGAATTGTCAGACTCCAATTTGTTTAATGAAGGAGAGTACGTATGCCTGTAATATGAGTATCAGATTCTGAAAAAATGCAAATTTCAAAATTACGTATAACATTTTTCTTTAAAAAAAGTGTTTCTTTCAAGATGGTCATCCGCCTAGATTAGACTATTTGTCACAGTCCCACCGAGTCCATTATAAGCGCGTTGCACTGTATTTAGATTTGAATATTTCAGGTAAAATCCCAAAATATTCTTATGAAAAGTCTCAGCTTCCCCTAGTCTGAAAATACCATCAAGTATGATATTGAGAACACTATGTGGCATGTAAAGAAAGACATTAACTAATTACAACATGTTTTTGTTGTTGTTGCAGAGAACAGTACGCCCTGAACTCTACCACATTTATTCAGCAAATTTACCAATAGAAACATAATATATATCTATAAATTAAAAAACAAAAACAAGGTTTCTCTATAATATATGAGCACCTAAGTTTAAAAACTTGTAAGCACAAACAGTCCAACACAGTAATTAATTGATAAATATCGTACAATGTATTTTTGTATAACAATACCAACAAAACATGAAACACAGTATAGACAAAATGAATGGAAATTTCATATTTTTGTTGTAAGTCATAGATTTGACTAAAGATCACAGAAAAAAGAATCACAATTATATCAAAAGGAAAGAAAAAAAAAACAAGTAGGCAGTTCATTCTACTTCAAAGCAACTTAAAATAAACGCATAAATTGTTCACGATTTTCCCAATAAAACATTATTGATTGAATAATATGCGTATCTTATCCTCAATCAGTAGCGTCGAAGTCTACCACTAATTAAACCTTGTCTATGTACGCCATTGGTTTTTACAACTAGTAATTTTGGAAGCAATCAATTTGAGTAAAATTCTTACTATTTTTACCGAAACATCGACAGCTTTATAACAGCAAACTGTGTTTCTTTAGAGCCCACATACAATTAATTACAAGAAATTTTTATGAAATCATCCCCTTGTAAAAAAATGATCGAAATCGATAAAAGAAAAACCTGCCATTGCGCACTTGCAAACTATAAAAAGTGTTTTGTGTGCTAAGTAATACTCAAGTCCACTAGGTTCAGGTTGACTGATTTATACGAATTTACACCGGCTAAGCTTCATCAAATCGATCCTTTTTAGATTTTTTGTTCCACGGACTAATATCCTAAGAATGATTCGATTCAAGAGCCACCCCTCAATCGAAGATTCAACCCGCAGCCGCGTTCAATTTCAGCATATAACAGCTGTAAAAATTTTGTGCAGGTAGTAACTTTCTGGCAGGAGGTTTGTTTAGTAGAGCCTTTTATAACTGTAAACAACAATACCATTATTTTTTTTCTCGTGGGAAGTTTTTCGACACTGAAGCAGTCACGAAGGGTCGTCTCGGCCATAGTTTGGCAAGGTTCCTTTGGCAGGCCTAGAACACGACCGCATGCGCTGTAATATACTAATGTACAGTGGGTCAAAAAAGTATTGGCACCCCCTATCTTTTTCTTGAATCTCAATAACGAAAAGATGAATTTGTTGATACTATATTTATTTGGAAAATAACATCCAAATAGTCATTTTCGATGGCAATAGGTTGAGCAAATTAAAAATAATAATAGGAAGTAGGAAATTTAAAGGTCAAAAAAATGTCGGCAAACTACAAAAATAAACACGTAAATAAGTGTTAATAAAATTTATTTACAGTCAGCATCACCAACTATCAGATACGGTGAAGAACGTCGACGCGATTATGACTAGATACTTCACAGAAACGGCGCACGGCACGGATATCACGTATCCTGAAAAGTGACATTAAGCCGATTTTTTTGACTTTGTGCTATTTTTTTTTTGACATTATGTAGGTTATTCTACAAGATATTAACTTAGCACTTAGTTGTACGTGTTGCCTAAACGTCATGAGACTTGTTATCAATCTTTGACTCTAATGTGATGTAAAATCTGCTTCTGAGATGGCATTACTGGAGGTCTAAGCTGTAAGTTGTATGTGTTGATGATAATTCCATTTGGTTCTTGTCTCAAATACACTTAATTGAGATTCAAAGCTGGAAATTGCGCATCCACTTTTCCTTATCCATTCTGGAAATTACATATACAAATTTGCTGAATTTAAAAAATGAGAGAGATAATAATTATATTCACGGTACACCGTCGAATTACAAGCTGTATACATGCTAACAGTAATTACACACAACGCGGGCGCAGTGATGATTTCCCGTAATTCTCCTCAGTTTTTCGTAATTTATAACTAGAAATTAGAAATTGAAATTAGAAATTAGAAATTAGAAATTAGAAATTAGAAATTAGAAATTAGAAATTAGAAATTAGAAATTAGAATTAGAAATTAGAAATTAGAAATTAGAAATTAGAATTAGAAATTAGAAATTAGAAATTAGAAATTAGAAATTAGAAATTAGAAATTAGAAATTAGAAATTAGAAATTAGAAATTAGAAATTAGAAATTAGAAATTAGAAATTAGAAATTAGAATTAGAAATTAGAAATTAGAAATTAGAAATTAGAAATTAGAAATTAGAAATTAGAAATTAGAAATTAGAAATTAGAAATTAGAAATTAGAAATTAGAAATTAGAAATTAGAAATTAGAAATTAGAAATTAGAAATTAGAAATTAGAAATTAGAAATTAGAAATTAGAAATTAGAAATTAGAAATTAGAAATTAGAAATTAGAAATTAGAAATTAGAAATTAGAAATTAGAAATTAGAAATTAGAAATTAGAAATTAGAAATTAGAAATTCTTTATTAACGCATATAGCATTTAAATATAAATAACAATACAAAATATAAATCATTAATGGTGCATGATCACAAGAGGGCGGTCTACAATCTTAAACACTACTAGATACAACAAGACCAATTATTACTGTACTACATTTCTCACTTTATTCGCAAAAATCCTAAAACTATCATTGAAAAAGTCAATTTTATTGCACTTCTGCACTACACTATTTGCTTTCATACACATTCGAGTTATAGGAGAATTCACACCATAATTTGTCCTATGATATGGAATATGAAATAATGACTTACTTCTTGACTCCCTTGACGGTATATGAAAACCAACCAGAGCAAGGAGATCAGGTGCATTAATTTGATTATTAATGTTCTTAAAAAGTGTGCAAATATCAAACATATCTCTTCTGTTTACAAGTGACGTTAAGTTCAGTAGAGTAATTAGGTCCTGACAATTAATGTCATCATAAGGAATGCCAAGCTTTAGCCCTATTCTCTTAAGAAATTTTATTTGGATTCTTTCAATACTATCTCTGTGCACAGCATAATAAGGATGCCAAACAGAGCTGGCATATTCAAATAATGATCTTACTAAAGCACAGTAGACATCTCTCACAATAAAAGCATTATTGACGTCCCTAAGACTCCTAAAAACAAATCCCAAGAGACGCATAGCTCTTGATGTTATTTTCTCAATGTGAGACACAAATGTTTAACTCGCAATCAAGTCACACACCCACATCCCTTACTAGGTTTGTTCTCTGTAAAATTGCATTGTTTAGGGAGTACTCAAAAGCTTTTGGATTTTTAATTTTACAGAAGGTTATAACTTTACACTTATCAGTATTTAGCATTAAGTTATTTACGTTGCACCAATGAGAAAACCTATTTAAATCTTCCTGCAAAGCGAGGTAATCACTCGTATTTCTAATAATCTTAAAAAATTTTAAATCGTCCGCAAAGCCAAGAAAAAGACAATTAACAAAAATATCCTTATAACTTTGAACACAACCTCTCTTCAGAAAGCACAACATTTATTGTTGCTGATAATCAATTAAATGAAAATGATGAAGATACTGAATGACTATATGATAGTTACCATAATTTGAGGATTTTTTACCAAAATATTCGTAGTGTCAGAGGAAGGCTTGATGAGTTTCACTCCAGATTATGTCTTATTAATGAATATGACATTATACATATAGTTTTGACTGAAACTTGGCTTGATGAAGACATTACTACTGCTGAATTACAACTCCAAGATTTTACTGTGTACAGATGTGACAGGTCTTTATTTACAAGTGTGAAGAAAACTGGTGGTGGTGTTTTGATTGCAGTCAAAAAATTTATTAAGTATTTAAATGTTGTTTTAGTTAATAACTCTTATGAACAAGTTATTGTGCGTATAAAAACTCATGCAGTCATTTTTCATTAGTGTGGCCTATATACCACCCCTTTCAACCTCTGATTACTACAGAGAATTTGTTGATAATCTTCAAAATTCATTGCTAAGTTACATTAACGACTTCAATTCAAATGATCTCTTATTATTGGGTGATTTTAATTTACCGGGTTACAGATGGTTTAAAAATGATTATTTTTCTGCTGCTGTTGGTTATCATCTGACTAAAGATGTCAGACTTGGTGCTTTTTTACTTTCTGTTTTATGTAAACTTTTGAGTTTAACTCAGTATAACACTTACATTAGCTCATCGGGGAATATTCTTGACCTGATCTTTTCCAACAGCAGTGATGTTCCTTATGAAATCGCTGATGAAGCTATTTCTGGTTGTGGTAGTTATCACTAAATAAATATCTCAGTGCCTAAAATATACACTGAAAACTTGCAAGTATATTTATGATTTCAAAAATGCAGACTATGCAGCAATTCTAAGTAAATTACACCGCCTGGATTGGACTTTATTTAATAACAACTGTGATGATGTTAATCTACTAGTTAAAGCTTTAGAATTTAATATTAATACTTTGATTAATAAGTTTGTACCAATCCAACGCTTCAAAGTGCTAGGAACAGGATTGATGTTTTATTTGCTTATAATTTATTTAATAAAATTATTGATAATTTCAGTTTATTGTCAAAATTCAGATTTTATGTGCCACCAAGAATGTTAAGACTTAATAATGTTTATTTTCATGTTATGCCACCTAAATCAGATCTGATAAATCATTCTCCTGTTTTTAGATTATCTAAACTATGTAATGAACACAGTAGTTGGCTTGATTTGTATAATTCGAGTAATTATATTGTTAGAAATTTATCAAAGTCTATATTTACATTTGAGTAGTCTTTTGATTTTGTAATATTTGAATTTATGATTACTAGATTATTGCATCCTCATTTAAACATCTGTATTAAATTTCGCAGATGATTATGTTAATATAAGTTGATTGCCGTATATACTATTATATGTTACTGTTACCACATATGTAGCGCCACTTACGCGACGTTTGCGGTGCATTTTTCTATTTATAATACATATGTATAATGGGTTCGCCCGTAAGTTGAATAAATAAATAAATAAATATAAATAACCCGTCATATTCAGCATATCCAGTAATCATTTTCTCACACAGCAAATATCACTGATTTTATACACATGCAAAGCAATACACATAATCATCCAGATGCGATCTTGTTATTCAACCAACTTTCATCTCAGAGACAAAAACCACAGACACGGATCACTCAGCCTCACAAGACTATGCAACCAATAATGCATGTAGTTTAGTTGAGTGATTCCTTCATAGATGGAAGTTCACAACGATCCTAGTGAGCAAACGTGGAATGACTGTTTGCGCCCTAAAAACTACCTAGTCTGCAAGGTTTTTTTTGACGTTTTATAGGTTTTTTACATGACACCCGTGCGGGATCACACAATCAGGGAATCGTTTGAATGTGCGTGAGACGCGCAAGCGCGCTAGCCACTAAGGTTGAACATCGTATATTGGGCCCTATAAGTTTTGGTAAATCGCGATTTTATTGCGGTATTTGGCTCAGAATATCAATATATCCATGAACTGATCGTTTTTTAAAGTCATGATCACGTTACGTTAATTGCAACTACCTTCATATTTCCAGCTCAACCGCAGAAATTGGTATTTAAATTATTATAACAAAAGACAATGTTTATTGATAGCATGAGTCCCGAAAATGCGACTACGAAGATACGTTGAGATACCTAATATGAAACACGGGGATGAATTAGTTGATAGGGTTAGATCCCGAAACTGATACCTTAAAATTATTCATCTATGAATAATTTACAATAATAAACCTGTCTATTTTAGTCCATTACTAGAGTAGAGATATCAGATACTCCAGCTTGCCGTCACACTGGCAGTACAATTTCGGGAAACACGGATTCCGGCACCCCAAATTGCGTAACGAAAGGTGACATTATATCGATTTTTTATGACTATGCAGTTTTTATACTTCCCACGCATACGGCGGGGAAATACTGTAATCGCAAAAATTTTCGAGTTCGTTACGTACACCATGAAAAAATATACAGGGTGTTCCTTAATCATATGCAAATATTTAAGGGTGTGAATCTACATGGAAAGTTAATGGCGCATCAAAGGAAAACAATTCAAGAGAAGTTATTTGTTTTAAATTGAACGGGGAGTTAAAATATAATTTTTATTGGCGTACCATTTTTTCTTAAAAAATATTGAAGTCAATACCCGTACGCACGCCAATGTTAAAGCTAAAAATTATTTCTGCATTGAAAAATATGCAACATTATTAACTTCCACTACGTACTAAATACCAGTGAAATATCTGAAGCGGTTCTTAAAATATTAGTTAATTTCCATTTTTTTCCTAAAACTTCGACACCCCGAGTTTTTGTAAGGAAGCATTTTTGGACCATAGTTTATGAAACAAACTAACATTAGTTTTTCATGTAGATTCACACTCTTAAATATTCGCATATTGTTAAGACACACCCTGTACATCTATATAACCTTATGTGGTTGCTAATCCCTCAAATTGTCCATGTGGTTAACCCATCAATATTCTCTTTGATATGCTAAATACTTAATAATAGTATCTCTGACAAAAATTACTTTCGAAATATTCCATAAATTGATATTTAATTCTCTCTTTGACAATGTATGTGCCCGATCTCAATTGCTATGCACCCTCTATCGCTGATGCCCTTCCGACTCGCCAATGTAAAGGGTGACGGTAACGTTAGAGAATTCGCTCTTTACGCTTTTAGTTATGGACTGATACAGACCTGGAACAGGCTATTACGGATACTGGAAACAAGAGTAAAATAAAAAATTGCAACGCCGTTATCAAGCATAATGTTCAGCATAAACTAGACTCTCTGAGAAAAAAGTCAGTCAGACGGTCCATACAATTGAAGATCTCGGTGCAAAAACCAAGTAAGTCCAATTTTTAAGTATTTGGATCAATCATTGCGGATCGTTTGGTGCGAAAATCAAGTAAGTCTAACGCGTCTTATCTGAAATATACTAAGTGACATATAAATCCGAACACCCAGTTTAAATGGTTTTATTTTAATAAAAGTTGGTGAATGTATTTATCTTACTGTAAATAACAAGTGAAAAAATTTTCAGCCTTATCAGTTGGACATTCCGGTTTTTATACTGCTTTTTTTTAATTCACTAACGCTCTAAAAATGAATATTTCAGCCGCAGTAAAGAATCAACGTTGGCGGATTTTGGTTCTTACATCCTTTACGATCGGTTACGATGCCTAGAGTACGGAGACCTGTACGATTTCATCAACTTAGTGAGTTTGATAGGGGCCGTATAGTGGGACTTCGGGAAGCTGGACTTTCTTTTCGGGCAATTGCAGTTAGAGTGCAAAGAAGTGTAGACACTGTGGTTAGGTGTTGTCAGGCATGGCTTCGAGAAGGCCGTACGCAAATAGCAAGGGGCACTGGACGCCGCCGTAGAACAACAGACCGTGAAGATCGCCGCCTAAGATTATTGGCCTTAAAGGACCGTTTCTCCACTACCAGGTCCATTGCAAATGAATGGTTTGCAGAACACGGAAGACCTATTGGCATGCGAAGCGTTTACCGACGAATGAGAAGTTTTGGCTTGTTTTCATACCGGCCACACTAGGTCCTCCCTTTAAGTCGAGAACACCGACGTAATCGCCTTGAGTGGTGCAGACAACGGTCACTCTGGGATCAGGAATGGAACAGTATTGTCTTTAGTGACGAGTCTCGATTTTGTTTAGGCATGCACGATGGTCGTGCCAGGGTTAGAAGGCGACATGGTGAAAGGAGGAATCCACAGTTTTTTTGTTGAAAGACATGTTCATCACACTGTTGGAGTTATGGTTTGGGGTGCTATAGCTTATGGTTCCAGGTCACCTTTAATCTTCATCAGAGGTAACATGAACGCGCAGCGTTATATCCACGAAGTTCTAGAACCCCATCTTTTACCCTATCTTGACACCCTGGCAGATCCAACTTTCCAACAAGATAATGCCCGACCACATGTTGCAAGAGTCACAATAGACTTCTTTCAACATAATGATGTCACATTGTTACCATGGCCACCAAGATCTCCCGACTTATCCGCAATTGAGCACGTGTGGGATATGATGGGTAGGAGATTGCTCAATTTGCAACGTCCTCCTTAGACTCTAGAAGCACTTCGAGAGGAGTTGGTGGTTGCCTGGAATGAGATACCACAGGAGGACATTGACCACCTGATCAGAAGCATGCCTAGGCGCGTTGGAGAATGCGTAGCACATCGGGGTGCATCCACACATTATTAAAGCTCAAAGGGCTTTAAAGCAGTGCAATCATTTTGCAATTTTTATCATTTACTTATTATGCTTCATTAAGAACTTATACAAAATTTTATTAAAATAAAACCATTTAAACTGGGTGTTGGGATTTATATGTCACTTAGTATATGTACCATAGGATTTCACTTGCCAGGTCAAGTATTGGTAGCATATATCAGGCAAATCCCCCCCTCCCGCGCCAAAAAATGCAAGAAACGCGTGACGCTGCCCTGAGAAATGGCCATATCCATATTCCCGATGAATGGAAAGGAATACTATGTTCAACTGTTATAAGTTTAGCATTTCAACCTACCTAATTTTCCAGTAGTAAAAACATTGTAAATACGTGAAATGCGACATTCGTCCCAGTTTTATATAGTTGGATGATGCTTCTAGCGAAGGATCTTCGGAGAATCCGAAAATATTGGTCCACAAGAAGTAGTTGGTACAGGTCATGATGACTCCGATTCATCATTTATGTAATTGAAGATTTATTTTTGTTATCAGTTTTTCAAGTTGTTCTGGTTTTGTTCTCTTTGACTATTAAAACTGTTTGAACAAATTTTTATTTTATTTCAATATAATGTTCGGGGCAAAAACAAGGTAAGTCCAAATGTTCTACAAAAAAAAAAGGTTTGGGTGCATGTTTTTATGTTATTTCGTATTAAGCAGGTTTTTTATTACCTTCTCTATACCGTAAACAGAATAGTTTTCTATTCCATGACTTTAAAACAAAATAATCAGTTTTTTTTTAATTTTCCAAAAATCTCTATAATATGAATTACATGGTTTTTGTACCGAGGTCTTCAATTAGTCCATAAACATTTTCCCCTGCCCTACAGTCCATCTAATAACATCGCCTTTCTCCGATTCCTAACCAGGTCAGACGTGGCAGAGTGGCCACAGCATAGGAAACACCGCGATACACATACACTGAAGATAGGATATTGCGCATGTGGGTGGAGCTTCGTGACGTCACCTGGAGAGTTGTCGGCTTGTGGTTACCAGCGGCAGGATTGTCGTAACGTTATTGCAGTTCACGTGTATCGTGGTTAATACTATATAGTGCAATCTGTTGGTGTTTTTTGGTGGTTTTAAATAATAAAAGTTTGAAATACCAGAAAAATCGTGAAAGGAAATGGAGAAAAATTGTGGCTTAGGCTAAGTCATTTCCATTTATTGTTATACCGCCAGCTTACTGCAAAAAGATGATAACTCCATTTTTCTACTTTTTGAGTTGCGTACATTGTCACACTTGCATGCTCCACAGAACATACTGAAATATGGGTAATGTAGAAAAATCTTGCTTTTACACTAAAGTGACGATACACGTTCTATTGTGG